CCCCAAAACCCCAAAACCCCAAAACCCCTTTAGCATCGATAAATTTGAACTATTTCTGCTTATAAATCTCACTCAGTTTGACCTCCTTAACAGGCTGAGCAATACTCTGACTCCCTGAACGCTGTTTTAAAATCCTTTTAATTTTCGTTTGCTCTAAATCATCAACCCCTCACTCTACCTTTCGCAATCTGTGACATCTGCCTCATCCTAAAATACCCTATCTCCCCTTCTAACAACCTCTCATCCCTCTTTTTCCTCTGTTTCTCCAACTCTAAATCCCTCACCCTGCTCGAAAATGTGGGTTTTGCTTTCTTAAAAATCTCCATAGATTTAATCGCTAAACCCTCATTCTAAAATCCTTACATCTCTGAAACTGCTGCTCTCTCTTCTTGCTCTCCTCCATGTACTCTCCAAGTGGAGCGTAGTCCATGATCTCCTTAATGTTATCTGGTGCTGGAGATTTTATGCCAAATGTGTAGCTGAGGTTGGCATTAGATGGGCTATTTGGACTAAGAGGGTGATTGGAAGACATACCTTTGGAGGAAGGATTTGGCAAGTTTTTTATTTGAAATTAGCCAGGCTTTTTGATATGATTTGGTCATCATCGTTCGGGAATTTGGAGGTGTAGAAGGTATGTTTTGAGGGAGGTTTTGGGTATGAGATTGTACGGTTGTGGGGTTTTGTAGTTGAGCTGGGAGATTTGAGGGTGAGGGATTGGGTGGGAGATGAGGTGATGTAGAAGCGGTGGAATTCGGAGAAATCGATGTAGCTGTCCTTGTTCTTGTCGATAGAGGTGAAGAGAGATAGTAATTGGCTATTTGTGAATTTTAAGCCGAGTTTATGCACTCTTGTTTTGAATTCATCCATTGAGAGAAATCCTTGCCCGGAGTAATTGAAAAATTTGAATGCAGAAGCTGAGTTTTCAAATTTTGAATACATTTTGTCTGTGAAGATTGTGAAGCATTCTTTCAAGCCAATTTTCTTTTTGGCTATTACTGATTTGGACCCACTTAAATCTTTAACCTAAAATAATTATAGATTTGAGCATAATTTCTAGATACCTTGTCGAACTGTTCTGGATTATCTGGCAAATATTTATAAAGCTCAAGTAAATTCTCAAACTTCTCAAATGAAAGCCCTTTATCTTGTACTTTAAGAACGTCAATAAGGCCTTCCAAGACCCTTCCCTTAGCATCATCTGTTTCAATTTCACAGAACTGTTCTACTAACTTCCCGAATTCCTGTTCTGATATATACAGACTATGAAAAAGTCAGCGAGAGATTTCTCAAATGGCTCATTAGCATTAGAAGGTCAGATAATTTATTTTGTCTAGTCCTTCCAAAATTTTCACTATTTTTAGGAGCTCTAATCCACCAATTCTTATGAAATAATTGTGAAATCTTGAGATATATTTACCATTTACTGCTATCTTTGGTCTGAATTTCTGTATGAATATCTGCCAAGAACTTTGGAACTTTGTAAGTCCTGTAATCACACAGAGGAACTTTGTGATTTCTGAGGTACTTCAGGACTGACAAAGCCTTCTTCACATCGATATTCTGACTTATCTTGAAAGCTTGCATTAGGAAACCTTGCAGTTGTGAATTTCTAGATCAGATTGTTTATTACCTTACTGAGAAGAAGCATTTGACCCTAGATCTACAATTGAGGAGGTAGTTGAACCATTGGTTTTTCTACCAGAGTTTTTATATCTTCCACTAGAGACTCTTTTAAGCTGGCATATTTTCTAAAGATAAACACTTTATGTTTACTCCTGGACTTCCACCATATCTTGATGTAGAATCTGCTAAAGTTTAAATTAGGTAAATACTCGAAACTTTACTTTGGGTGTCAGGAATCATCTTAGTGATTCCTGGTAGGTTTATCTTCTTCTTTCCTGAAATATATCATAAAATTTCTTACCGCTTGCTCTCATTGTGACTGAATTCTTAGCCATGCTAGCAATTTCGGACTGCTTTTCAAGTTTTGAGATGTTCAAAAGCCTATTCACACTTTTCCTAGATCTCACACTCATTGTAGAGGGATTATCACCAGGAAGTGTTTGCATTGCTGCCAAGCTCTTTGCAGTGATTCGTGTGTCTATAGATCTAGTGCCTTTGGAATTCTTTAATTTTGCTGAGCATTTTAGATTTTCTACAAATTTCCATTGGAGTCTAATATTTGAGCTGTTGATCTTACTCTCCTGAATCTTTATCTCTTTCCTGTTTGAGAAGATTCATCACTGAAGGTTAGATAAAAAAAATACTATAGTGATATTTAACATCCCCATTTGTAGAGTTCTGGTGTAACACTATAAGTCAGAATTTTATCTTACATCTGCTGTTAATCTCAATTCCAAGACAATGGAGGATACTTGAGAATAATTTTACAGAAATCTCTCCTGTTTTATCTAAAAATATTACGCCAAAATTTCTTGACCCTACCTTCGTCAAGATCTTCGAAAGTCCGCTTGATCTTGGCCTTGGTCTTGTTCAGCTCTCATATTTTCTCAAGATCTTGTTTATTTAGGCATACTTTTTGTCAATGATAACTTCTAAGCCAAATTTAATTTTAAAGAATAAATCTCGTGTGGATTATTATATAATCCAAGCTTCTATTGTAGGCAAAGTGAATACCTGAAACTTCAACAAAACTTTCAGAAAACTCCACAGAGATAGTAAGCAAAATCCTACCTGCTTAGAGATGATCTTTGCTCTTTGTTTGCTATTTTGGTCCATTGCAAGGGTCGATCGCTTGAACTCTTCAGCACCAGACATAATTTTATTTGCGAAATTGTATAAAATTATTTTGGGATTCTTCGGGGTTTTGGGGTTTTGGGGTTTTGGGGTTTTGGGG